ACTGGATAGTTTGAAAGATGTTCATTGAAGTAGTCTGTTGATGTCTTACCTTAGATATATATTTAACAGAGTCACAGAATTTTAAAACTAGAAGGGACCTTTGAGATCATTTAGGGTAAACCTTCATTTTTATGGATGACAAACCTTGTTCTGTTGAAATCAAGAGACTTCACTTACTCCTACAGCTGCTGCCTGACAAAGCTAAAACTAGAACTTTGACCTCTAGTCTTCAGCTTTAGTCTGTGTGACATCTTGGTGCAGTAGGACCCTTTTGATTCAGTACTTTAATTTTGGAGAATCTTGTACATATTAATAATTAAAATCGGATGTGGAGACCAGGGATCATGTAGACTTAGACACTTACAGTCCATACATAAAACGTAGGAAGAACCGCTTTTTCTATTGTGGGGTTTTTGCACTTAGGACATGTTTTTGCGTATTCTGTTTTGGACTTAGGAAAAGATGTTGATTTGGTATATAAATATTTAGTCAAATGTGAGTTCAGCAGAGTCACATTTGGAATCCTGTGGTTTATTTGTGAAGGTGATTTGTTCAAATGAGTTTTCTTTTTACCTCTAATTGCACAGCAGTCTGATGATGAAGTATGAATGAGCAATGGGGTGTTAACTTACCCAGCATATAATGTGAATCATCAAAACGTAAACCTCTAGAGCAAAACATGCTTCAGGAACTACTTTGTTTTGCTTTTTGCTAAACACTTTTATTTGAAGTGTTTTAAAAACAGCTGATCAATGATAGTGTACTCAGTTCCGTATTGATAAACTTTCCCCTTTTAGGGTTGCTCATAAAGTTTTTCTCTGGTTGATTTTGTACCAGCCAAGCAACTCCATTTCTGCTGGTTGGCCACTATTTATGAAAGCAGCAATCCCGATGTGATTAATGGTGCTTAAAAGGGAAGGGGTGTGATTTGTTCAAAGGCCACGGTAGCCTAAAGTGCTGAGAATATTCACCAGTTGCCTCTGGGGGAGTTTGCCCCGCCCTACTAAAGATTCTAAGTATCGGTGAGGGAGTAAATATTTAAGCATTCTTTGAGCCTGGTGGAGTCAGTTCCGCAGAGGTGATGTGGTCTCTCACTGCGCAGAGGTCAGGGAAAGCCCGCAGCCTCCCACCTTCCATGCCCTCTGCCTGTTGTCAGACTCTAGTTCCCTGTGTCTTTACCTGGCGTCCGGAGTCTCCCTCTGTGGCAGAGAAGGACGCACACGTGCACAAAGTTGAACTGAGAGTGGAGCAAGACCAGCAGTGGAGTTGGGTGTAAAGAACAGGTGACCTGTGAATTCATTGCAGGTTCCAAAGGGTTTCCCAAGACCTGTCCGTCTGTTTCTCTAAGGTGGTGTAGAGGTCTCCTGAATCACTAAGGAGGGCCAGGTCTTTAGGCAGGCGATAGCTGCTCCATGAAATGATACCGGAAGGCCCGGGAGAGAAGACCAACCATCTATTGAAACAAATCTCCAAGTCACCAGGCCTGCCCAGGGCCTCCGCGGATTAATATCTTTCCTTAGATGGTATTTCAAAGTATGTAAAGTGTAGCCCCTTTTGTGGTCGATTTTTGTTGCTGCTGGTTCAGGGCAAAATAAAATGCAAGAAATTCTTTTAGCATGAAGAAATACATTTAATGAGTTCCGGAACTTAAAGTGAACTGCGCCAGCTCCTTTGACAGGCATCTGTATGCTATTGACGATATTTTATTAGGCATTTAATTAAAGGAAGTCTGTGGGCCAGATTCTTCCCCACATATGTGACTCATATTTGGGAATTTCTCACAGATTTATCTCCAGTGTGCCACGTGGCCTGCACTTACAATGTGAATAATTCTGATTTTAATCTCAAGAGCTTCTTTGAAGATTCAAACCAAGCAATGCTAAAAAAGCCAGGCCACAAAACTAAAATACAGCTTGAGTCTCTTGAAATTTGCACTAAGTGTACAAAATCTGTTCTGTCCTCAGTTGAATCAGAAACTCAACTTGCACACTAACCTTGGAATCTTTTTGATTGTACTGTGAGGCAGTATCCAAAAGAAGGAAAAATTAGTAAGATTAAATTCCTTTCAAATTTTGTTAAAACTTGTGGATGTGCATACAGCTTCCTTTTTGTGTCTATAATCAGTGTTCACATGCTTTCAGTCCACTTTCTCTGCTTAAAATGTTATCCCATATTCAGCACAGAATGGGTTTGGTACAGCTGTCATTAGTCAATAATTGACCCAGCCTTAAACTAAGAAATTTGGGGGCTCCCTACATCATTGGGTTTATTTTGAGTTTATTCTATTTTAATTACTCTTTTCT